CTATCATCTAGGGGTAGATCATAGTAAATAGAGGCAATAAAACACATATCTATTTATTATTATATTATGTATTAATCTAAATATAAAGGAAAGTTGACATTCATCATATATTAATATATGAAAAGGTAAACACTGTTTTTCCAACAAGCATTGCAATGAAATATCTGAATAGTGTATATTGGTATTGAAGTGTTAAATCTGCATTACAAGAAGATATTCTTGTGTTAAAAGGAGAGGACTTTTAATTATTTATCTACATATTAAGGAATGTTCCAACAAGGCCATTTCTGTGCAGCAAGGGGAGGTCACAGGTAAACCTCACACCTGAAGACTGGGACACTTGCTCGAGCCAATATATAAATCCACAGTTGGATCTACATTGCCATATAATCCAGATCAAAGCAGATAATTCATATTATCTGCTTTGAACTGGATTATATGAATCTACACTGACATATGATCCAGTTCAAAGCAGATAATCTGGATTCAAAAGACATTATTGGATGCTTTAGGAAAATGTGCTCAAAATATTGTGCTAAAATAGCATGGGCAAACTTCGACCCACCAAGTGTTTGGGACTTCAACTCCAACAATTCATTTTCAACCTAGAGTGACCCTAGGGCCCTATCACAGGTGTTCCTTGGCAAAAAATTGTTCAAAAAGTTTGCCAAAAATCATCCAGTGAATGGGGTTGAATGGGGTTCGATCTCCCAAACTGTAGTCCAGTGCTGTAAACCACTATACCATGCTTGCTCTAAAAATCACTACCATCTCTGTGTTTTCATTCTGCCATCTTTACTAATATGGCCAATGCATATATCACACACAACATCAGTGTTTGGGTTTACCATTCTAATGGAATCCTCCCAAGCATATTTAACTTATTATAAAAGATTACATAGTCACACTTCTTTCTTGGTATGATGCTAATACCATACACTATTAAATCATCTGGAAACAATTCAGCAGACTGTATCATTTCATTCTCTTTGATTTCACTTAATATACTGCATTTGTTAAGACATTTTTGTCACCTCCTCCTGTTCATGGGCTTATATTACATGTTTTGGCCTTTTTTCAAGAACTAAGAGTTGAGAACAAAGAGTAAATTCAATGTTTTATTACTTTTGTGCACTGGTTGCAATCTCCAGTCATCTAGTTTGCTTTGCTGGATAGAGCAGATAAAAGCTGGATCCCAAACTGAATTGGATTAATTTTGAATCATAGAATCATGGAGTTTAAAAAAGAGACCACATGGGCTATCTTGTACAACCCCCTGCCATGAAGGAAAAGCACAATCAAAGCATCCCTGAAAGATGGCCATCCAGCCTCTGTTGAAAAGCCTCCAAGGAAGAAGTTTTCACCACACTCCGAGGCAGAAAGTTCCACTGCTGAACAGTTCTTACAGTCAGGAAGTCCTTCCTAATGTTCAGGTGGAATCTCCTTTCCTGTAATTTGAACCTATTGCTCCTAGTCTCCAGGGCAGCAGAAAACAAGTCTGCTCCCTCTTCCTTATGATATCCTTTCAGATATTCAAACATGATTATCATATCTCTTCTCAACCTTCTCTTCTGCAGGCTATAAATATCCAGCTCTATAAGCTGCTCCTCATAAGGCATGTTCTCCAGACCTTTGATCATTTTAGTCATTTTCCTCTGGACACCTTCCAACTTGTCAATATCCCTCTAATTCTGGGTATTCTAGTACCCAGAATTAGACACAAGTTTATTCCAGGTGAGATCTGACCAAAGCAGAACAGAAGGGCACCATGACTTCCCTTGATACAGACACTATATTCCATTTGATGCAATCCAAGATCCCATTGGCTTTTAGATATATTTGGAAGATGTTCAAATGGAAGTGGGGCACCTCTGAAGTTCACTGAGTGGATAACCCCTCCCCCATAGAAAAAGATAATGCCCCTCTTACACGTGACTAATAAAATAAAAGAATGCAAGGATATGAGGACTACTTGTGGCATTTCAAAACATTTCAATCATATGACAACTTTTTGAATACCAGAAAAGGGAACTCTTGGGAAGATCCTGGCTGGTATTAGAAAATGTGCTACTTTGAGGATTACTTTCCATCTTTTTGCCAAGACTGTATTTTTGGTAGTAATCTAAATATACTTATTTTTCATAACTTGAACTGAATTTCCCCAAAGATAAATTAACTAACTAGCTGTTGGCTACAATCTTCTCAAGATGAAAATAAAATAACACTCTCCTCAATTTCAGTTAACGAGCAATGCCTTTACTTTTTTTTTCCTGAGGCTTTGCTTCACTTCTAAAACCAGAGTCTGTTCCATTGTAAAATTTCAAAGCATAACAACAAAATGTGACCCATAAATGCAGATGCAGCATGTCAGTTATAACCACCAATATTTTTTGTAACTATTTAAATTCTTGGTCGTAAAAAAATGTTGGGAGGGCCAAGCCTAGATGACACATCTCATATGTAGTGGTCATGTAAAAAGGCCCAGAAATACTGGGCACAAATATATACGATTTTATAAGAAATCGTTAATATCTGCTTGGGATGTCAGATGAACAATGCAATAGAAAATGTGGAAAGTTATTGCTATACATGATAACAGTAACAAGAATTACCTATACTCAAAGATGGACAGACAATCATTGATTTCCTCCCAAGACGATTGGCTTATGAAAATAATGGAAATAAGCAAACTTGTGGAAATGGATATGGATTAAGGAGAAATCTCTAACTAACTTTAAGACTGGGGCCCATTTATTGCATTCCTCCAGCAAAGATGGGGCCAAATCTCCAACTTTTTTTGGATTAGAAGTGTGTTATTTTGTGGGGAAAGGATGTACCAGTGGTTCCTTTCAACTAAATGGATGAAAAAAAACCAAAGAGAATATAACCACCAGAGAAAGTAACACACTTAGATTAGATAACGTAGATGGTTTGTAGTTATTGTGTGTTTTTATGTTTAGGATGTAGTAGTATTATTCTAAAAAGTATTTTAAATTTTTTGTTGTTGATGTTGCTTAGTTTTTTGTATGTTTGTATATAGGTTTCATTTTGTTTAAAAAAAATTTTAAGTAACGCACAAGGTTAGGGTTTTTTTGCCCAGTGAAAATGAAAGGCGATTCATGATTCCTAAGCTTCAGAGTGACTAAAGAAAATATGAAAATGGACATGTACGCACAAAGCTTGGACATATATACTTAAAGCAGAAATAAAGAACTGCGGCCTTGAAATATTTTGCACTGTAATTCCCTTACAATTCATCATGCTAGGTGGGCTGATTATAGAGTGGTAGGACCAAATCTTCCTAGCTTAGAAAGGTCTCTCCTTTGGAACTCCCTCCAACAGGTTACCAATTATATTAAATAGTCTCAGAAGGTCTCTGGTCTCGGGATATTATGCTACATCATGGGGTTACTACATATATAGCACTGGAGCTTGGTAATGAATCCATTTCCTTGAATGATAAGTAAGCAAACTGGGAGAAAGGCTTACTCAATTCCTTCTTTATATCAAGAAAGGTCCTTGTCATGGTTAGGATTAGCGCTTTTCCAGTTTATTCAGTGCTGTAGGCCTTTGCACAGAAAATAAATAGAATGCATAGATGGATGGATGGACTAACAGACAGATAGGTGTCTTCTCTCTCAATGTAATTTATTTGTTCATTTAAAACATGTATACCCGTCCTTCTCGACCTCCACGGAGGGACTCAGAACGGCTTCCAAACAGGAAACAATTTGATGTGAAACATAATATAAAACACATAATAAATACATTCACAAAATTAAAATAATTCTAAATATGCATTAAGAACCCACTCACCAGATTAAAATCGCCAGAATTAAAATCGTCATCCAAAGCAGTCCAAGTCCGGTCCAATAAATCTTGTCTTTCCCAGTAAACAAACTATTCTGTGAACGCCTGATCCCATAAGCTTCTTTCAGAAGGTCAGAAGGGAGGGGGCAGATCTAACCTCATTGGGGAGGGAGTTCCACGGTCAAGGGGCCACCATGGAGAAGGCCCTGTCTCTCATCCCCACCAAACGCGACTGCTGGGCCTCCCCGGATGATCTTAAGTTCCTAGACGGTTCGTAGAGGGAGATAGGTTCAGACAGATAAACTGGGCCAGAACCATTTAGGATTTTATAGGTGAATACCAGCACTTGAATTGAGCCCGGAAGCTACCAATTGTGTGATTGGTAAATGATACAGATAGTTCATCTCTAGGCATTTTGGTTTATATTTTGTTCCCCCCCCCCCCCAAAAAAAAAAAAAAAGCCTGTGCAGGGAAAGAGAAACAGATGGATTGAGCAGAAGGCTATCAACACTACTCTATGATGTTTCCATTAAGGAGCTTAAACCAGTTCTTCATCCTTTACAAACACAACAATATACACAAGAATTGCATTTTTCTTAGAGGAAGATCAAGAATCTTCCAAAATCGCACTAAGATGACCACACTCGTGTTTATACTCCATGTCAAGTCAGACAATACAAATTAAGAGTTCATATGCAGTACTTTGTCTGGTATTCTGCTTTCAACACACTTAGCTATACTCATTAGTTTAGAACAACGGCATCCAATGATTTCAGAAGCCCAGCTTTACGAAGATACACGTGAATTATGCCTCTTTTCAGATGTATGTACGCTAATATTGGGCCAAGATTGTGATTTTTAAAGAATTCTGATTTTTAAATGTGGTAATCCTTTGTTTCTTTCAGAAGTACATAAAACAGAATAAGAAATTCTACCCAGAAGGTAAAAACAAAACGAACATGATCTGGCCTTAACATACTTGAGCCTGCGTTCTGATGAACCTTGGAGATGAAGGAATTTTAAATCAACAAGTTTCTTCAACATTTCATATGACTCCTTTCCATTCTAGGAGACACAGAGAAGGCCAATTAGCTGGTGGAGTACTCTCCTTTATAAATCCAAAAAGTTGCAAATGAATGAAGTAGGCTGAAAAGGCTACACACTACACGATCCTAAAAACAGAAGACAGACCACATAAACATAACATTTATTGTCTTTTTTTCAAAAAAAAATTCAATACAAATATATTTAGGTTATACAGATGCTTAGATTTGACAGGGGGAGAACATACTGATGTATTCAGCTGTCTTGTTATCAGGTATACCGTCTTTACTTCACAAAGAAACATTTTTCCATCTCTGCAAACATGCTTAATCTGAAAAAAATAAACTCTAGCAATATTGTGTCCTTAGACATTAATACAGTTGTTTTAAAATAATACGTTGGCCTCATAATTAACATCACAGGGATAAAACTGATGATCTCCAATACTTGTTCTAACTAAAACAGAGCTAAAAAAAATAATCAAACACAAAAACAAATATATTTTTTTCTCTCCATGGCTTTATTTCAAGCATCATTTTTAATTCTGTATAATTTATACATTTTGCATTCACTTTCCCAAGTGTTCTGACACTATATGTAAAAGGACATCTGTACACACTGTCACACACTTTTAATGTAATATCATTTATGAGAATATGGGTAAATATAGTATAATTTTCCAAGTGTGTGGTCCCTACTTTTGAAACGAGGCTAGCCAAAGAAACTGCCTGCTGCTTTTCAACACACAAATGGATAGTACATTTTAGAAACTTCTAAATGCACCACAGTAATGTTCACTGTTAAAACAACATTCCTGGCAAACCTTCTGCCTGTGCAAAAGATAGCATGGCTGCCAAGGGAGATCAATACAAAAAAGAAAGAAAAGAAAGAATTCACTGAATTGTACACATTGAACTTCTAGGAGAGTTAACTGTTCTTGTCACGGGCTCCTGGCTATAGTTTACAATATCCGCCTTCACTACACTCTGTCAAAAGAGAGAGAGAAGAAAAACAGAAGAGGTTATAGCTAGAGAATCCAAAGGCAACTCTGTTCCACAGTGCTAATAAAACATTTCATGTGTTAATGACAAGACTTTGAAATGCGTAACACTTTAAAGGAGTGCAAATATATATATCATAATCTCTTCTTTTAAAAAACAGGCATAAAAATGCATATATAGCACCATAGTGTACATGGAGCATTTTCCTAAATAATGCATGGTTATTATAAAAACTGCTGATGACTGGGATACCCATGAGGGCGAAGTGGTATTTTTTTTCAGTTTCTCTAAGCTGCCCCACTAGGGCTTCCCATCCACAAAGACCCTCCTATAATCAGGTTTTAAAGAACTGCTATAGAAGCTTTTTTTAAACCTAATTCGTTGTGGGGAGATTTTTAGGGGAGTCACTACTTGTGAATGTGGGGCTAACTCTTTCTTCCTGCAGTTTGGAATTAGACATTTTAAAAGTCTCATTGGTGCCTCTAGTAGCAACACGAGGATTGGAGGGCAGTTTGAGTGTGAATACATACCGTAATTCACCGCATAATAGTCGCCACTGCATAATAGTCACACATCCTTTCCCCCCAAAATTGGTATTTTTCCTTTCTTCATGTGAATTAGAGCTGGCTTTATCTGGGGCTCTCCCTTCTTTCTCCTGTCTCTTTAGAGGTAAGGCAATTTAATATATATAGAGGGGGGGGGGGGGGGGAGAGGGCGCTGGATCTTCTCTCTCCTGCCTCCTCAGCAGGAAAAGAAGGAAAGCCCCAGATCCAATCAGTTCCCTTTATGTTTCTTTCTGAAAAGTCTTCTCTCCAAGGAGGAGACTGGATCTGGAGCTTTCCCCCTCTTATTTTTGAGGAGGTAGGAGGGAGAAGATCCAGGTGACTCTATTTGCAGTTGGTTCCATTTTTATTTCTGTTTTAAAGCTGCCTTATCCCCTCGCAGGCAGGAGGAAGACAGGAGAGGCCTAGACCCAGTCTTCTCCTAAAAGGTAAGACAGTTTTTAAAATGAAATACAAATGGAGCAGACTGTGTCTGGTGCTTTTGCTTTCTTCCTTCTGCCTCCATGGAAGTAAGAGAGGAAAAGCCCCAAACACAGTCGTCTCTGCACATTTTTTCTTCGCATAATGGTTGCATCCCCACTTTTTCTCAAGAAAAAGGGGATAATGGAAAGTATGACTATTACACAGTGAATTACAGTATGTCAGATGTGGTGGGCACATGAATGTGCATGATAGGAGTTTGAGTAATGAGGGTTGGGCCACATGCCAGTGGTGTAGTGCTCCTTCCCTGCAATGCTGACCATTCAGGCCTAACATTCTCACCTTTTCCTTTTAGTAAATAAAAATGGCTCCTCAAGCTGGCTGGGGAAACTATTCCTGAAATTCAAGAGAGCTTCACATAAGGCTTTCAATCTAGTATAGAGACACTGTGAGGGCTGTGCTTGTTGGCTTTGCTATTTATCCCACCTAAGAGTTGCTATTTATTTATTTATCGTGTCAGGAGCAACCAGACATTTGTATTACATTTTTAACAAAACAAACAAACAGACAAAACACAAAGTTTGCAAGCTTGGTAGTTGATTAAATGTCCTTTGCTGCTAAGAGAAGGGTTTGTATGAATATTTACCAGAGGATCAAAATATTCAATTGATGTATCTATCCTTGTAAATATATAACGCACATGTACACACAATATCATTGTTACTGTTTCAGTAACAATTTTTTTCCTAAAAGGACTGAGTTTTTTAATGGTACTACCTGAACTATTGCACTGAACAGATTTTACTTTGACAGCTGGCAGTGCTGTCCTGTTGATTATCTTCTTCAGGATACTTCACTAGTTCTGCCTTGACAACATGCTGCAGCCATGTGTCAAAGAGTAGACAGAGAAAGAGGTGGATGGAAAAAAAGAAAGAGGAAAGATGATCAATGATTACAAAAGAGATGATCAACACAAATGAATAAGAATAGCAAACAAAAGCCATCGCATTCAACACATCATGCACTGATCAGCATGCCCTCTTAGCAAATGTATCTACCATTTTTCAAAGCAGGATGGGAAATCTTTTTCAAGGAGGGATGGCCACCCTCCCTTGAGTAATCTGTCAGGGACTCCATCTGGCAGTAGGCAAAGACAAACCCACTTTTGCCCAGAGCCAAAAGCAGATAAATCCACCACTTCTTGCACTTTGTCTCTTCCCTCTTTTTCCACTTTTTCCCTTTTCTTTCCCATTTCAGGCTGGCACATGAATTGATCATTTGCAGAGGGCTTTGAAATTAGGCTAAGTCCAAACAGCTCTAGGGTAACAGGTTGCTCCATTCTGCTTTGGAGCATGGAAGTGTCTCTGAAATTACCCTGATCCCCAACATTCCTAGCAAAGCTTAGTTAAATAAACTTAACCACTGATCTTAATCTTCAGCTTGCACCCTTCCTCAACATGGAATGCTAGGAAAACACACGCAGGAAACAACGCAACATATATATTGTGCCAATGTGCATTCATGCATTTCATTCATAGTGATCAGACATGGCACTGCAAAGTTTTCATGCAGATGTGTTTCCACCAAAAAAGAGACTTATTTCAGAAAGCCCAAGCCAATCAAAGCAACCAGCGGAAGTTAATTTTAATGTTGGTATGAGCAATGCAAAGTAGAAGGGACATTAAAGGACGCAAATAGGTGCAGAGCCAGACAGATGAGATTTTAAAATGTGAAAAGAGCCAAGCAAGGATATCGTGGAACCATGGTGCACAAAGCTGGAATACCTGGATGTTGTTCTTGTTACTGATAATCATGATGCAGAGCTAATACAATATGGATACACTCTGCCACTTCTCTCTCATTCCCTGTTACTCTATGTTTGACTGCAAAAGTCACGGCAGGGAGCAGGTGGATTTTCCCCAACAACATATTTTTGCCAGTTGTCCCTGTTGTAATGTGAAGTATTTATGCGGAGGTTTGATCTTAAACAGCATCAAGATAAATCCCATTAGCTTTATAAAAGACTTGTTCTGGTGGAAATGAAAACTGAGAGAAAACTCTGATTTGCATGGACCAAAAGATGCCTGCATTCTGAGACTCTTCTTGGGAACAGATTGTTAGGGCTGTCGTGATGAATGTCTATACTACATCATGGGTGCCTTGCAACTCTTTTCAACTACAACTCATAATTATGTCTGCACATCACATGTTTTAACTTCTGCAACTTTAATAGAAATTGGTCTTCATTTCACAAACTATAGATACATGTATATATTCTGCAACAAAAAAGCAGGACATTAGTCTTTGTTCATTGAAAAGATTAAAAGCAGACTGATTTTGTAAGAAAACACCAATGCAGCACTGTGCTATATGGGTTTTTTTCAATTTCTCAATGCAGAAATCATACTTTCTGCATATTTACGATAAATTGTTTTAAGGAACTGTAAACTAAAACAAAACTGCTTTCAAAAGGACAGCATAAACTATAGGCTTCAGAGGAATCACACATTTCTTCCACATTCCATAATATTTGTCTTCTCAAAGAGGTAATGCATTTTTTGTGAGGCTCTATGGCAGAGGTTCTCAAGCTGTGGGTCCCCAGGTGTTTTTGGCCTTCAACTCCCAGAAATTATAGCAGCTGGTAATTCTGGGAGTTGTAGGCTAAAACAGCTGAAGGCCCACAGGTTAAGAACCACTGGTCTATGGGATATGAAAAGCCTAACGCCCACCCCCAATTTCCAAAACTGGTGTTTTTTGGAAGTATACCAAGTGGTCCAACATAAAAACTAGAGAGTTAATTTGCTTCAGGTTGTTGCAGCCCTTCTGTTACTTTCTGTTGGGTTGATTTGACTATGTATCCTTTTTAGGTCATTGGAAAAAACATATTGTTGATTTATCAAACTCATACATGCTTGGCCAAGATTAAATCTTGCTTTCAGTTTGCGTTCTGTGACTTAAAATATATCAGTCAATGGAATTATGTATATGTGTACACAAAATATGTTAGAGAAATGAACCATCGTTATTTCCAGTGATTTCAATTAAGTGCTGAAACCAAAGAGATGTGGAGCTCCCACTGGTTTGTGTCTTAGATGATTCCATTATTATATAAATAGTTCTTTTTGAAGATAACCTCTCTTTCAATTAAACAACAAATGTACTGGGGCAAATGGGAAGGCATCTCAATTTATGATCTGTTGATGTTCTGTGGTTGACTTCTCACTAATCAACATTACTTTATCTTATCAAGGAGGGAAGAGTTATATTCATTGGTTTCCAGACCTTTCCTTCTTATGGGAAAAGCTCAATTCCATGATGTTCGCAGAACAGTCTGTGCTCCTAAACAATGTTATCTGACCTCACAGACTAATTTTTTTGTGCACCATACTTGATGCTGGCCTTAACAGAAAATCTTTAGACTGCCAGAGAAATTAATTGTTCCTCAAAATCTGGCTTAAATCCTACCTTGTAAACAATAGATAGACCAGTGACTCATGGTTAAGCCACTAAATGGCAGAAGACTAAAACAATTGGACGTTAAAAAATCAGTTCAATTAACAGAAAGAGCATTACCCTTTGAGTACACTAGGCATTCATTCGTGTTTCAAGATATTAACAAGGATGGTCCCCAAGCTCGAGTTTCTGTAACTTTTCAGATTCCAGGATTTTCATATACAATAGATATTTATTTTACTAAGGGTCTGGAGGGCAGGTTATCTTATTTAATTGCAGCAAATCTAGTAGGAAAAATACACTACCACAGTTTTAGCATTAGTATTGTGTTTTATTTATTCATTTTAGGTTGTACATTACTGTAAAACCAGGCAAAATGAAGGGCACTAAACAAACATTTTAATAAGTTATGAAGTATGAAACTGAATTAAATCACCAATGAAGAGGAAGGAGCAGGAATTCCTACTCTCTTCGGAAGCTTTGGTTCTACACTTTATGGCCACGTCTGGAGCCATGTTTCTCAATCAGCTGTCCTCATAGAAAACTCTTTTGAAATAGAGTTTCAAATGCTTCCTGTAAGATTCCGTATGGAAAGGTTTGTTAATCAAGGAATAACCCCAAGTTCCACTAATAAAAATGTAAGAGCTTTACTGGATATGACCAAAAGTCCATTTAGCCCAACATTCTATCTACTGCAATAGTTACCCAGATTACATGTTACCCACTATTACACCCAGCAACTGCCAATCAGTGACAATCTGCCACTAAAGCTGGTGGTTCCATATAGTCAACTTGAAGAATAGCCCACTTGGTGAAATCCTCAGGCTCCAAGCCTGAACTCCTTTGAAAGCTGTCTTGAGTAGTCACATTACCTATTACCAGATTTTGTGACAATGAATGGTGTCATTGGAAGTTGCACCTCCTTTTCCTAGCTAATAAATTTCACTGGATGGTCCAAATTCTGCTATAATCTAATTTTAGGATCAATGTCTGAATCCCAGACAAATTCTATTTCATTTATATCCAGAAAACACAGAGACGTCATAAAATTTTAAAATTTCCTACAGGAAGCTTTTAACTGAAAGGAGCATTAGAAATTTTGATTATTCCAAGAAAAATAATACTATATTTAGTTAAACTTGCAAATGTAGAATAAAAGAATACAAAAATGCCTATGTACAAAAAAAAATCTGATAGCAAAAACATTATACTCAGAAACATCACCTGTGATTGTTCTATTTCTGCTTTGTTTAATTTGACGTCAAGCAAGTCGGCCGCAATTCTTTGAAAACACAGGAAGACCTATTAAAAAAGGAAAGACTTAAATGATTAGAAACAGACATCCTAAAGTTACTACAAATACATCAAAAAAATTCCTGAACTATAAACAGTACGATATGGGTGAAAAGACAACTTGCACAATAAATTTATCAACTACTCCTTTCTTCATTCATGTCAATAATTATAACATAATTATGTTTTATATATAAAAAGGTAAGTATTTTGTAAAACTAACTTAAACTGAATTTTAAGATGACATTTTATTTAGTTAGTTTTCAGACTACAATACTGTCAAAAACTAAATTCTGTTGACACTGTATGCGCTAAAATGATGCCCCAAATAATTTAACACATTGATAGTATTCTTTTTAAAATCTTTCAATGAAACATGAAGAAATTCTGATTTCAGAAGCCAGGATAACACAACTGAGTTTCACAAAACTGGCTGTTCAGTGTCTACTTACGCCACAGCACTTGCATTTGATATTATTTAAACCTTGCTGGCAAATGAAAATGCTTGCTGTGTGTCTTAAGTTAATATAGAAAGAAGGAAAGAGTTGAAGAAGCAGAAAAATCTCTAATAAATAGTTTTCGAGGGGTTGTGTGTGTGTGCGTCTATTCAAGAAGAAAACAATATTTAGTGTTGTTTCCATAATAAACTGGAGTCTATCAGACAACCTTTCTGTAGAGGAGCAAGAAAGGAGAAAACGGCAAAAACTCTGGAATGAAGCAGTGTAGAAAAGCCCTTTGCAACAGCCTTTGGCTGTAAATTGGATGTAATACACTACAAGCATTTAAAAAAACTGGGATCTGAGTAAGACAGGAACCTGAGTAAGGCAACATTAACAAACATATTTGGCTTCATAATGCATAATCAGAACCTCTGAGAATGCCTGCCATAGATGTGGGTGAAATGTCAGGAGATAATGCTTCTGGAACATGGCCGTTCAGCCTGGAAAACTCACAGCAACCCACTGCATTTATATCATTTAAGAGCCGCAAGAATTTCACTTTTCTTTTCTTTTTATTTAAGATACAGGCTTACTTACAAGTTTAATCCTATACTATAAATCATATGGTGAATTGCCAAGTGAAATATTTTTCATTCAAACTTCAATGATTGACCCAGAAGAGGTTTTTTTTTAATTAATTGAAAAAATCAGATGATGAATGTATTGGTTCTATTTACTCTGGTTTAATGGGATAGAATAATAGGCATCTACTTAATAGGGGATTTGCCCACCTGTCATTCATAATTATGAAGCAACAGAAGGAAGATATGAACTAACCTTAACTTTCCCTCTCAGGAAAGTTATCCCATTCCTCCAATGCCAGATTTAGGGAATAAATTTACATCTATAAATCCTATCTTGTCAAAAGGGAACCTCCTACCGTATTCTAATATAAATCAGAAATTATATGCGAGCAACTGTAGCACTAGTCTCTTAAATTAATTGATGGCCACAGATGAATAGAAACAATGGGGGGGGGGTACGTAGTCAAAAATGAATATTTTTTCCCAAATCATTTTAATTAATCACACAATAAACTGATCTATAAGTAAACAGTAAATGAGGAATGAATAATTTAAATGCTAGCTCATTTCAATTATACAGAAATTTACCAATAAACTAAACTGAGTCAACGCATTTAGTTCAACTGAAAATGAAGAGTAAAATAAAATTACAAAGACAGGGAAGAGAATATGTAACAAAATATGTTAACCAAAGAAATATTGGAGGGGGGAGGCATGCATTCTACAATATAGGATCACAGCTGCAAGATTATGCATAAAAGTGGAAAGACTTAGCAATTCCATCAATAGAAGACTTGCCATTGAAGATGTTTGACTTAGCAGACATGGACAAATTGACAATTTTGATTATACAACTTAAGAACGATTGGCAACCTGCTGCTGCTTACTTAAGAAACTATATGAGTCAAACATCAGTAAAAGCATTTGAGGTATCATAGATGTTATTATTACAACTAAGCTTATGAAATCTAGTTTGAAGGATAAATACAAAGACTAGAATGTTTGTAATAGAGCAATGGTTCTCAACCTGTGGGTCCCCAGGTATTTTGGCTTACAACTCCCAGAAATCAGCTCACTATTATGAAAAAACAGAAAATGTGTTTCACACCTGGCTCTAAAATAAATGTGACTATAACAAATACTTAACATTATCTACGTTACTTACAGAGTCACCTGTCTTGGCTGACACAAAATGGCTGCTAGAATGGTTTTCCTGGCAAAATCGAAGATGTTTGTCAATTTTTACAGCCCGTAGATGCTCCAAATCAACTATAAAAATCAGGGGAAAGAAAAGAAAAAAATTAGGGCAATGACACTTATTTGAACGCATTGTAAAATTATTTTCCACTAGTCACAATTGTGGATCATGACATGATCAGATGTGAGGCACACCAGAAGAATTACAATCACAATTTTCTGTTTTATTTGAAAGACAAAACAAGTCACTAAATTTGGAGAAATGCACAAAATGAAGTTAAAAGCAGTGGAAAGGGCAGCCACAGGACATGGAAAAGGATCATTCTACATTTTTGTGGGATGTAGCATTTAGTATAATCCAACTTTTTTCGGTCTCAAACTGCAATGTGACCATGCCAAAAAAACACAGCAGCCAAGATGAACAGCATTCAAAATCTCTTTGCTGAGTCGGTGTGAACAGCAAAACAGAGATAAAAAGGATGGACAGCCAGACACACCTACCATCATGTTTAAAAAGCACAGATCAATGTCTTTGAGGAATGGGTTGGAATAGTTCAAATCCCCGCTCAGCCATAGAAACCCATTGGGTGGCCTTGGGCAAGTTATATTCTCTCAGCCTCAGAAAAAGGCAATGGCAACCACCTTGATGAAACCTTACCAAGAAAATCCCCACCAGGCACTCAACAAAAATGTATTTGACCACCAAAATCAAAATCCTAAGTGAAGGGAGGTGAAAGAAAAGGTCAATCTTGGTTGCATTTAGGAAGAAACCTTCAAGATGCCTCTAGAACGTTCAAAATTATCATGTATGCATGCAGTATTGTTAGTCCTGGATTTAAAAAAAATGCTGAAATTAAGCTCCTCTTCTTTTTTATAGTGTAGGACCCATCTATATTCTTTCTTTCTTATTTCTGCATCTGTTTTCTGTTAAAGAAATAACACCCAGGAACCCACTGACTTCATTAACTAATGTATAACTGATATGTCAGCTGTGACCCTTCCTAGAATTGGAAGATCTAAAGATGGTAGCAAACACACTAGTCACCTTACAGTTGGACTTCTGCAATACATTGGGCTACCTCTGTATTATTATTATTAGTTCAAAACAGGCATCCAGACGAGTTGCAGGAATACCTAGGAATGAGGATACCACCCGTATACGAAATTCACTCCAATGTTTGCCAATTAGTTTCTGGGCAAAGTACACAATATTGGTTTTGACTTTTAAAGCCCTACATGGTTTGGGTTCAGGTTGTCTACACAATCACCTTCTTCTGCAATATCCACCTTTTAGGACACTAAGGTACTCTGCGGGACACTTCCTCTAACCAGCCAGAACCCGAGTGGACTGGCAACCATTACCCAGAGGGCCTTTTCATCAGCCGCCCTACAATTGTGGAATGACCTGCTGGGAGAGCTTCAACACCTATAATTAATTAACGCTAAATAAATGCCATTTTCCACTTTGAAAATAAAAAGAGCTTTAATTTTAAAAGTGCAATGGACCGTCTCTACCTAATTACATAAATCTACCAACCAAATACTACATATGTTGAATAACAGAAATGCTTAAGAATGTCAAATGATTTCATCTATCATTTATCTAAGAGGTATAATGCATAGGAAGTTAGGCATGATTTAGTCCAATTGATATTAAAAGTATTTCAATATATGCCTTTCTTCTATAGTTTTTTAATGATTGCCTTCCAAGTATAGGGTCTTGGTGGTGAGTCCATAGGTGACTGCATGTTCTTTCACAGTGATGACATCAATTTCCAGATGGAAGGCGGTCCCAACAAGCATTGGGTTTTGTTCTGATCTGCAAATTGGCACATCAGGTTTGGAGCCTCTGTGATCAGGCCAGTGCATATGTATATCCTCCCTCGATTGTCACCTTGTCATGGTGTGAGGACTTGTGTATTCCAGTGAGTCTGTGGGCAAAGCCATCAGAGTCATGTGTTCCCAGGAAGGTTTCCCTGAGTGGCAGGGCCACAGGGGAGGAACCAGACCAAGCCCAATGTGAAGTCCTCAACAGCAGAGCAGACGGACAATAATATGGCACATGTTAAAAGAGCTGTGAAGGTGAAAGAATACTGCAACAGATAAAAAGCCACCAGTCGTCGGGGACACTCATTCTGTGAAGACTGTGTTGATCAGTTGTGCACTGACCTCCACTCATAAATCAAATTCATGCGCAAGCATCTTCCGAGATAAATAAAACCAACAGAAGTCCCATGGCGATCAGCGAGTGGCGACGGGAGCAGGACTGTGAAATCTGGAAGCCCCTAGTCACAGACTGACACATGGACCATTGATATGGGTTCAGTTGCTCTACCTCAAAGTCCAAGACAGATAAGTAGTTTGATAGCTGCATCCATGACTGAGCAGCCCTTTTTAGGATTGAGAAAATACAACTCTCCCACCCCCCCCCCAAAATACCCACCACTCTTGTTCCATTTTAGATTGTAAGCATGAAAACAGTAAATGGCTTTTACTTGTAATGATGATGATGATGATGATGGGCATAGAATTTTGTGTGAAAAAAATGTTAAGACTGTAGCTGCTAACATTCAAACGGTAAATTAATTCAACATCAAAAACAAGACTGAGTAAGTGTTAACAGTATTAAACTTAACAGCAATAATGAACTGACAAAATTCTCAGTTTGTTTATGCCGGTCCATTCTCAATATTCTTATAACCAACCTTCATTTAAATAGGAAGTTTTCTATTATGCTCAATATGTTTCTCACAGCTAAATGGGCCCTTATACATTTTGTATAAGTTTTGTGTTTCTATTTCCACCAAGCGTACACAACATTTCTCCTTTGTTTTTGTAGTATTTTTTGTTTGAAAACAAGCCTGTATCCACTCCTTTGATTCAATCACACCTAATTCTTAATCAGAAACATTTTGAATGCCTCTGAAGATGTGGAGAACCACACTATTTTATTTAATTGTTGAACACATATATTCTCTACTTCCCCACTCATTCAGAAACAAATATGTTCTATAACAGGGGTCCTCAAACTTTTTAAGCTGAGGGCTGGTTCACAGTCCCTTAGACTGTTGCGGGGAGGGGTGGGCTATAGTTTGAAAAAAATATGAACAAATTCCTACACACATTACAGTATCTTATTTGTGGTGCAAAAAAAAAAACCATGAAAGAACAATACAATATTTAAAATGCAGAACAAATTTAACCAACATAAATGTACCAGTCTTTCAATGGGAAGTGTGGGCCCGCTTTGGCTGATGAGAAAGTCAGGATTGTTCTTGTGTGCCTTCAAATTGTTTCAGACTTAAGGCAACTCTGAGTCTAAAGTTTGGGTTGGAAGCCAAGTAAAGTTTAGTTTGGGGACCCCCTTATCTAATACATAACATTGCATAAACTGTGGAGGCAATTAAAGTTAGCTAATTTATTTATTAAGTTTGATTCGAGAGTTGAGCATCACCTCCAAATGCCGAAGATGGAAAAAGGGGGAGGCCTTTACCTTTGTCTGTGTTGTATGTCGTTGTTCACTGTGTGTAAAAGGCATTGAATGTTTGCCTCATATGTATATACTGTAATCTGCTCTGAGTCCCTCCGGGGAGATAAAGTGGAATATAAAGTGTATTATTATTTTAATGACACAGAAAATACAGCATGACACAGCAAATGAGATATATATGCTGGATTTCGTATATTAGTATTAGTATTATGTCACATGGAAAATAGTACAAACCTAAAAGGCAAAAAAGAAAGAGGGGTCTTTTGGGGAAGAAAGATAGCTGAATAAACAGAAGTCATGAGTAATGCTGTAACTGGTTATAAAAGAAGAAGAAAAACAAGGAGACCAAGTTTGGTTTTTTAATTTAAAAATATCTTGAATATTAAAAACGTGCCTATTTTCAGTTTATTCAATATAAAGTATGTGCCTGCTATAAATTTTCTTTCAGGAAAAGCACATTATTCCCCAAAAGAAACTTGTCGATATTTCAAAACTATCAGTACAACCATACAAATATCATATTTATAACCATATTTTGGTATGATGAAATCAACGACCATTTTCAATATTTTCATTTCGTACCATTATATATCCACTGGGGGTAGAAAATGTTTAAATAACACAACTCAGACAACATGGAGCTCTAATGTTGTATGGGTTTTATTGTGCACATTCCAGTCTCTTCAAATCTAATCCTAAAGTAACTGGACGCTATATTGAACAGTTTCGCTTTTTATTGCATTACGGTCCCTGTAAGGGTGTTGATTCTGTGCTGTCAAATTATAAGGCAAGTACATTCACAAGGATTTAAGGACAACCAAGTTCTTTATGTCAACACAGGAAAAAAAGCCTTCAAGTGATTTCCTGAGGAAGGGACCCAGCTGACTTGTGAAAACTTGTAAATTTGCAAATCTAGTAAGTCTGAATAACAGTGTCATTTGATTATCAACTGAAAAAAGTCACATAAAATGCTTTATTTAAAAATGATACTGGAGACTTTTAATTTATAGGCTCAGGAGAGCTGGTCTGAAAGATTTGGAGTCTGGTGGGATTCCTACAGTCCATCTAGACAACATACCTTGGCTTAGTCATTTTAGCTATATTAATGCTGAGTCTCAAATACTAAAAGTCTTAGGCAACACAAAAATGACATATAAAAATTATACTAAGCTGTTCTGTTATTCATGTTTTACTGGTCATTTTACTATGTCATCTGATTTCTAGATGGTATCCCTGCTTCAAATTGTCTGCTAAAATATTTTCCTCCCCATTTACTTGACCAATGCTTACATGGAAAATAACAGAATTTTATTTGGAAATTCGTTTAATTCACTAAAATATAATGCTGAATCCACGATAAAAGGAAACAGAATTCTCAAGTTCATCACAAGATCTTACTGCTTTAGCTACCCATAAATGTGCATTTTATAGGCATTAATTTCAAGACTATGAGCTTCATAATGCTAGAGCATAGATCCACTTTAAATCCGGTTTCTGCCTACTGCAGAATTCTGGGATTTGTAATTATTTACTCATTACATTCCTTGTCTGAATTTCATTGCCACTCAGGAAAAGACTTCTG